CAGGGTTGACCCACTCCACCCTGAAGGTCTACGTGGCGGCCATTGCAGCCTACCACACCCCTCTCGGTGCCCAGTCAGTAGGCATACACCCCCTAGTTACACGTTTCCTCCACAGTGCGCTGAGGCTGAGGCCTCAGGTACGATCTCGCATCCCCCCGTGGGACCTGGCTGTGGTGCTAGAGGCTCTCTGTAAACCTCCTTTCGAGCCTATAGAGGAGATATCTGATCGTCATCTCACTATTAAGACTACCTTCCTTTTGGCGATTTCTTCTCTTAAGAGAGTTGAGCATCTGCAGGCGATCTCAGTGGCCCCTTCTTATTTAGACTTTGTGCCCGGTCTGGCCAAAGCATTTATCTACCCACGAGCGGGTTATGTACCTAAAGTTCCCTCCTCTACACCACAGCCTGTCGTACTCCAGGCCTACTGTCCTCCTCCTTTTCGGGAGCCCGACCAGCAGAAGCTTAAATGTATGTGTCCAGTGCGAGCACTGGACACATACGTCCACAGAGCTGCCCAGTGGAGAAGGGCGGACCAACTATGGTGCTATGGTCCCGCCAAGAGAGGTCTTCCTGCTACTAAACAGACCCTCAGCCTGGTGGATTGTGGATGCCATTTGCATTGCCTATGAGTCCTCTGATCTCCCCTCGTCTTTGGGGGTCAAGGCTCACTCGACCCGAGGTATGGCGGCCTCCAAGGCCTTCTTGGCAGGTGTGTCCATGCAGGACATCTGCAACGCAGCGGGATGGTCCACGCCCCTCACGTTTGTCAGGTTCTATGGCCTAGATATACGAGCCACTCCTGGCTCTTCTGTTCTCTCGTCCTAGCTGTGCTCTTCCACACTAGACAGGGATTTGCAAGTCTGGCGGCGTGGGCATACTCGTTCCCAAAGCGTTTTCCGACGCAGCTCGAGTTCCTGAAGGGGAACATCTCCAGGTTACGTATGTAGAAGGAAACTAGACGTAATATAGTATTTAGTAATAATATTAGTATATACATTATAAATTATTAATATGATATAATTGTTATTATAAATTAACATTAACCTACATTTAATTAATGTTGTATTGTTCATTGTTAGTTCAGGTTAGCTATTAACTGTTTAACTGTTACTATAAATGTTATCTAAATTGAAACTTATTTTAAAATGTTAAAGTGTTTAGTTAATTTAGCCGATGTTAATAAATTGAAATCTATTGTGAAGTGTTTTCTCACATTCTATCAGTGTTTAACAGGAATTTTGGAGCATAATTTAAGTCCCATATTTAATGAACACCACTTTGTATCAGTGGGAACAGCTTCACCTGTTTCAGCCAACTATGTATCTTCTCACTTGTTTTATTTTTGTTCCAGGTGACTTGGAAAAGAGAGCGAAAATTCGAGAACCTGCGACCTTGGTCATTCTCAACGCAACAAGAGCCGACACTGCTGATTACCGCTGTGAAGTCACTGCCCCAAATGACCAGAAATCCTTTGATGAGATTTTAATATCACTCACTGTAAGAGGTGAGTGGTTCCACTCAAATAATTCTACATCAATTGATTGCCTTGTGCTGAAACAGGTCTTTAGTATACATACTTTTGAGAGGAATTTTGAATTTGAATTTGCTGTAGACGTAGCATTGTTAGTACTTCCCAACTGCCTCGATGTAACATGAGATGGAGCGGCGAGCCAACGCACCCACCCTTGGCGCACATTTGAGGATGCTTGCAGCTCTAACTCTACAGGGCGTGTTTAGGGCTATATGAGGAAACCTCTGAAACTGCATCTGAGTTTAATCAGGGGTCTAAAAGGGGAAAGAGCAGCATGTTCAGTTGGCCAGGATGCTTGTAGTCAGAGTCACTAAGGTGCATGTGTGTGAGGATGCTATTGTCTGTGCAGTTACATTAAGATGATTCTCTTGTGTGCCATACAGTGAAGCCCGTCGTGCCCAGATGCTCCGTACCCAAGTCTGTCCCGGTAGGGAAACCAGCAGAGCTGCATTGCTTGGAGGATGAGGGCTACCCGAAGTCCCATTACCAGTGGTTCCGCAACAAGGAGGAAATCCCGGAGGATCCCAAGGGCAGCCCAAAGTTCTTCAACTCCACTTACACCCTGAATGGAGAGATGGGCACTCTGGTGAGTTTGGAAAAAGAGGCGATGGGGTAGGCATAGGGATATTTTTGGGGAGCCAGTTGATGTGCGATGGGCTCAGCCATGAAGGGAATCTGCTGCCCTCATTTGTGCATTCCAGAGTGCCATTCTCCGCCATTTGTACTCTGTGCTCTCGTCAACCTTCACACCACTTTTTAAAGTTTGAACAGCGCTGCAGTACAGCCACTTCCCCCTAAGGAGACAACCTCTGAAGAGTTTACTGTGTGTCCTTTAAGATCTGCCAGAGCCTCATTCAACACCTCTGTGTTACTTTTATAACATGCACACCAAAGTCAGAAAGATGCTTCTAGGTTTCAGTTGTTGTTTTTTTTGGTCTTTTGGCATCTAATTTTATGTGACTAAAAAAATTTTAGTTGATGCAAGAGTTCAAAAGTAAACCAAATATTCAAACATTAAGTGTATTAATTTAAAATGTTTAGTCCACATAAAACATTGTTAGTTTATTGTTAATATCTTACAGTGTTTTTATTTTTTGTCATATTTTAGCCAACAGATAGCCAACAGATTACATGATTTTAATTTAATTAAAATAATTAAATTATTTCTAAAATACACTTTTTTTTGTTTCATCTTCACTGATGAAAAAAAAAAACATCGTTAACCATTCAGCATGTTGTTGACAGATTACCACTGCTGCTTAGAAACACAAATACACTACAGTTCAAAAGTTTGGAGTTTAATTTTAATGTAATTTTTAATGATTTTTTTTTTTTAAAGAAGTCACTTATGCATACAAAGGCTGCATTTATTTGATCAAAAATACAGTAAAATGTTATTACAATTTAAAATACTGTTTTCAATTGTAATATATTTTAAAATGTAAACAACCGTTACTCCAGATCCTACAGATATTATTCTAATATGTGGATTTGCTGCTCAAGAAATATCTGTTGTACTGCTTATATATTTTTTTCTAGAAACCGTGATGAATAGGTATGTAATTATTATTTGATACAAATACAAATACAACTATTATTTAAAACTGCTATTATAACATTATAAATGTGTTTTACATTTTTTTATTAATTTAATGCATCCTTGCCAAATAAAAATAGTAATTTATAAAAAAAATTTTTTTACTGTGCCCAATCTTTATGCAAAATGATATGTCAACTTAAATCACTGTTATTATGATCTTCAGAAATTCAGTGCAGTCAGGAAGGAGGACGCTGGAGAATACTACTGCAGAGCCAGGAATGAGGCTGGGTTCTCCGAATGTGGACCACAGATGATGGAAGTTTGTACGTATCTTGATTGCCTTTTCACATGTGGACCCCCCGCAAAGCCTTGATCTCACGCTGTGCCTTTTTTTGTAGATGACATCAACATTGCTGGAATCATCCTGGGTGTAGTGGTTGTGGTGACAGTCCTTCTGTGTATAACAGTGGGCATCTTCTGTGCCTATAAACGTGGCTACTTCACCAGCCAGAAGCAGATGGGAAACAAGTAAGCACACGACATTGACAGCAACTTCCGTCTGAGGCCCTGTCCACACGAACGCGGTTATCTTTAAAACCGCAGTTTTTTCCACGCGGTTTGGCCGTTCGTCCACACGCAAAAGCAGCACCAGGTAACTGAAAACGAACATTTTTAAAAACGCCTGCCAGGGTGAAGATTTTCAAAAACTCCGGTTGCAGTGTTATCGTGTAGACAGCGAAACCAGAGTTTTTGTCTTGTGACGTCGGAGCCTGCGCTGTTATCTCCGCCTACTGGAAACTTTTTCAGGCTTCTGATTGGCCAACATGGCTTTACGGTTGAGATTATATCGCCACCTGTTGGCTTGGCATGCTCTTGACAGTGCTTCATAGCATGCTTTTGCGTTTTCATGTGGACGGAGATTTTTTTTTTAAAACGGAAGGAAAAACTCCCGTGTACGTGTGGACATGGCCTGAGTCACACTCTGTCCCAGAGCAGTTTTGACTCTCTGTTTTATGGCTTTTTTCCATTTCATCACCCAAGGAGCTCCTGAAAGTTTCCAGCTCAGTCTTAAAATCACATGTAGTATGTTCAGATATTTTAAATAAATTTGGTTTTAATAAATACAAATATGATATAGTGGTGACTGTCGGCTTAAAATGTTTTTCAAATGTGAAACTGACAGTTAATATTTTTTCTCCTCAGTTACAAAACTCCAGCAAAAGGAGATGGAGTGGACTATGTCAGAACAGAGGATGAGGTATAGGAAAATAAAGAGATGTTATTTATTTTTTTCATTAAAGGGGTCATATGATGCGATTTCAAGTTTTCCTTTCTCTTTGGAGTGTTACAAGCTGGTCTGTTCAGATCTTTGAAATACATAGTAGTGACTGTCGGCTTAAAATGTTTTGCAGATGTAAACTGACAGGTTATATTTTTTTCTCCCCAGTTACAAAGCTCCAGCAAAAGGAGATGGAGTGGACTATGTCAGAACAGAGGATGAGGTATGGGAAAATAAAGAGATGTTATTTTGTATTAAGCAAGAGAAGAGCTTAAGAAATCTCCTGGAAAGTCTAGCAGTTTAAGACAGGGAATCAGTTAAACCTCCTTTACTCAGTCTTCTCTCTTTCAGGGGGATTTCCGACACAAATCCTCATTTGTCATCTGAGAGGAGGAAGACGGGTGATGGAAGAGATGCAGAATTACGTTGAAAGTTACTGGCGCTATTATACCTCGCAGAGACACAAATCCCCAAATGAGGACATCGACGTCGGAGCTGCCATTGCACGTGCCTCACTTTACGGCACATCTGCAACAACACAATTTGTATTTGCCAAAGGTGACAAATAATCATGTCTGATCACTGTTTAAAGACACTAGATGTTACTTGTTTTAACTTTTACTGCCCCTTTTTTTGTAAAATTTCAGTAGAACCCAATATACAGCAAGAAACCGTTTTCCTCAAACTCTTCAGTCATTTTTAAAACATTTATTTTGTACTAGGTAAATTTGTCAGACTATTTTTGATGGAATATATTTTCAGATGCCTACAGAAAAAAATTTTTTTAAACTTTTTTAAATATTTGTAAAATACTAACCTGGACGCCAGTACCTTTTTTTTTTAGACTAATTTGGTTGTGAAAGAAACCATTTCCACCAACTTCACATCCTCTGTTTTACTCATTCAACAAACAAACAATGTACCAGACCACTTGACGTGTGGATGTTTTATTTTCCATTCAGATTTCAAATCCTTTCAATTGTATATCCAGCGACACTGGCTTCAATCAAAGGTCTTATGTACTTACTATACTGCTGGGATTTCATGTTAATAGTGAAAGGACGTTCCATGTTCATGTTTGTAGATAGTCTTAGACAGTGAGTATCTTCAGAAAAACAACAGCAAAAAAGCTGGAGAATATTTTGAAAGACCAGTGCTGCGTATCCTTGATTTTAAGTGTCCTTCTATGCTAGCTGTTTATCTTGTATATAGTGAATATACTGCCTAGGTTGTTTATTTTTTTATTTTATTTTTTTCTTCTCTTTATCTCGCTCTACATCTTTTCTTTTTTTCTTATTTGAGCGAGAAACACTCTCCATGTTACTTTTTAACATAACAGGGTTTGTTTGTTGGCTAACTGTACTGGTTGTATATAGATCCACTGTGAGCTACCAGAAGTTTCTGGTTTAACCAAATGTTGAATGAGGCAAATATGACACTCGACTATTCACAAATCTCATTTTGAAGACGTTAAAGAGTACAATCAATCAACTGAATGCTATTGATAATATTGATAATATT